ATTTGCTATTCAATTTACTATGGATATGCATTCTATATGCTCTCCCTCTCTCTCTCTCTTTGCTTGGCTAAAGTGAATGTCTCCAATTTCAATCAAAAACTAATATTTACATTTTTTTCACTTAGCCATGCGGGCGAAATGAAATTTTTCTCTTAAGATATATAAACGCAACTCTCTCGTTGCCAAAGCGAGACAACTAAAGCAAAATAAATCAAGGAGAAACGCATTGTTGCTGGCACATGGGGTATGATCGAAATGAATATACTCTGCATAGGTTAAGCAAAGAATAGAACAGAGTATGAAATTATGTGGTCTGTTTAGATAAACAAAATGAAATACATACAGTAAAAATTTAATTTTATGCCCAGATTAATTGACGCGCTGGGTATACAATTAGCAATACAAGTCTCATATAAAACGCAAACGAATCAAAAGTCGTCGGGGCACCAGAGGTTGCAAATGGCCTTGGGAGTGCTCCTGAGAGCCCTGGCCGTCAGTTGAAAAAGAATTAAACTAATATTTATCAAAGAGATGAGCGAGACGTGCTTCAGCTTGAACAAAAGCATTGAAGGGCAGGGTCGGCGCCAAAGCAAAGTGGCCGGAAAGCATCAAGAGAAGGCCAGAAATATGAGACGCCGAATGGGACCAAAAGCAAGACAAGTCAAGAGACAGAGAGAGAGAGAGTGAGAGAGTGAGATAAAACCAAGAACTGAATTGCAGTGTCATGAAACCAGAATATAATAGAACAGAACAGAAGCGAGCACAGCGACGCTGTCAAGTCGGCCAAAGCTTTGGTGGCCAGATGAATGGACGCATTTCAGGTGCACAAAGCGACTTTTGTGTGGCAACTTAATGGCTGCTTTGAGCTGATGCCAACTTTATGCTAATTAGCAGCAGCTCACAAATCCATTGCGAATAACTTTACAGGCAAAGCCTCGCATCTGCAGACCCAAGGAACTCTCGCTAGCTAAGCTGCACATAAGTGAACTTTTCCACACATCTCAGACAGAGAAAATACACATACACTCACACACAGACTCACGCAGTGACAGCCATTTTTGTCAGCCATCTTTTATTTTCGTTCTGCTGCAGCCAACTTTTGTGCTCTCGCATTCACAACTGCATTTCACATTTTGCATTTTGCATTTCGCAATTGGAGCTGGCGCAGCTGTTTGCTGGCTTAGCAGCAGAGCGCGCGCATTGTTGACATCTGAATTTTATAATGTACATAGTATAAATAGCGCTTCGCTTTGAATTGGCCAAATAAAACGATAATAAATATGGCCATTGTGCAGTCGGTGCCACTTTGGAGCCTTAGCAGCCAAACAATGGCTGCTCATAAATTACCTAAATTGAATACCATTCTGCTCCCATATTGGTGTGCAGCTATTCACAGCAATACAGCTTTCGCCTCACCTTAAAAAGAACTTAACTCGTCGTTATGGGCTACGCTCCCTCCAAATTTATTACATTCCGTGGAGTGAGCTAGTTATTTAATACACTGCTGTAATGAAGTGCCGCAAAGGGGTTAGTTAGCTATACTAGAATTTAGTTATGTATTATATATTGGCATTAAAATCAATATAAGTATGTATATACATATGTCGAGCAACAACAACGGACGTTGATCAACACTCATTCCAATTACACGTCAAGGAGATCACGGTAAAAGATTAAATGAATTTTATAGAAAAGGGATGTTTTTTTTATAAGACTAACTAATTAGCAGAATGTCCTATTAAATAAATAAAAGGTGTCACTCATTGATGTAAAGATCAGCTTAGCATAAATCACTCATATATGTATGTATGTAAGACATAGATTCGTATAGCTCATTCGCCTGGTTCTTCGAGAATCTCTTAGTAATTCCTCTCCTGTTTTAGGTGATTTAGTAAGCGTCTACCATAGATCGCTTTGGGTTCAGCAGAGATCACTGTCGCTGACATTTGCCTTTGGCTTAAATATCTGATCTGAGTTCAGCATAAATTGTTAAATCTTCCTCATATTAATAAATTTATTTTCTATTATCCAAATTTCTAAAAAAAAATATGATAACAACATTAAATGTAAGCGTCTACCATAGATCGCTTTGGGTTCAGCAGAGATCACTGTCGCTGACATTTGCCTTTGGCTTAAATATCTGATCTGAGTTCAGCATAAATTGTTAAATCTTCCTCATATTAATAAATTTATTTTCTATTATCCAAATTTCTAAAAAAAAATATGATAACAACATTAAATGTTAATTACAATAAAAAAAACAGGCCTCTCAAATATCTTCAAAAATATATAATAAATAAAATAGCCACAAAACTTGAGCTAAAATATAACTAAAGCCAGTTTAACTCAACCCATATTCACTTTATATGCGTTCACACCTTTCGCATGCATCATATTTGTTCCCTACATTATTAATATCTGAGTCAATATTAGCATAAAACAAAAATGTCTAAAATAAATATAGCTAGTGTATTTCTATGTTCGCTGAAAATTTAACTCTGTTTGTTATATTTTAGTCGCAGTTTTTTCATTCCCCGCCTTTGTATCCGTTTGGAGCGCGCATAACTATGCAATAGAAACTTTTCTCACGTTTTTGATTGCATTTTTTGTGCAGCGTCATAAATATTTAATGTTGACTTTTAGCTGTGGCAATTGCTGTGGCAGCAACGACTCTGCTCTCCGCGCTGCTCTTTAGCGTCAGATCTCCGCCCATTATAATAAACTGTGTGTGCGTGGGAGTCGTCCTTATTGCTTTTCCATTTAAGTGTAAACAAAAATGACGACGCAACAGCTGTCCCATTGAGTGGCGCAAGGCAGCTGCGGCTGGAGCGATTCAATTGAATGGCATATCCATCAGGCTGCGGTGAGGGCTAGCTCTGCATTGCAATTTGCAGTTGCAGAGCGACAATGCCGCAAGGCTGTGGTGGGTTGTGTGCGGTGGGCTGTGAACTGACAGTGGGTGGGTGGGTGCGTCTGTCATCAGTGGTAAGAAGTTGACCGAAAAACCGCAGGATGCACTTAATTAAGTTAATTAAAGTTTTTGTGTCATGCAGCTGCACATTCTTAAGCAACATAATCATCAGCAGCATCAACAACTGCAGCAGCACGGTAATGATAATGGTGCTCGTTGTCGCGGTTGAGACGAGTCGAGTGGCAACCGCAAAGCGAGTCACTTCCAGCTGAGCTCATGTGCGAGTACGCACAAGTATTATGCGAGTAATAAGCGAATCTTTCATAACGCTCGCTCATGTTGCATGCAACTGCATGCTGCCTCACACGAAGCGTAAACTCAATTAAAAACTGTCGAGTAGTTGGCCACTCTCACCTCATACCGCGCACCTCACACCACACACCCAACACACTCGCGCTGTTGACAGAGCTTGATTATCCTTATCCCGTGTCTGGGTCTGTTACACATCCTGCCCGAAGTGGGCGCGACGCAACGCAACGCAGTGCTTAGACTGCATGTGTTTGCCTTTCAGCATTCTATTCCATTTTCTAATTTAACGCCCGCATATATATATCTCACTCCGTTTTCAGTGGGTGCGCCATCAACTTTGCTGCGGCTTCGGCTCTTTGCATTTTAATGCTCGCTCTCTGTGAGAGTCCATTAGGATTATAATTTATGCATTTCTTTCGGTGTATCTTTTTAGATATCTCTTTTGCAATTAGCTGCATAAATACTTCATACTTAACGCGAATTAAGCTCCTAAGTGGCTAAAAGCTGTTTTTCTTCTCAAAATCCACTCTATATTCCGTTTATCTCGATTCCACTAACGCTAATTATCGTGAGCATATTCAGTGAAAGGTCAGAAAGGCAATCGATATGTGAGAAAGTCTGCATAATATATTCAATTCAACAGAGGGTATGCAAAGGGTATGTGCTAGTCGTGTTGCATTTGCCACATTAAGGGTTTATATAAATTGTTTGCATGGTGCAGACATATGTAAATCGTCGATTAGCGGCTAACAATGTTGCTCCAAACGGAAGCCATTAGGATGAGATAATCAACTATTGTAATGCCTTTCCCTCTGTCCCTCTGCCTCGCTGTATTTCTGTTAACAATCAAGCGTAAACAGCGAGATTGTTCATTGGGGCGCCCAAGAAGCAGACGTTGGATTTGCAGTTGTCAGTTATTGTAGTTGATTTTCTTGTTGTTGTTGTTGTTGGTGCCTCTTCACCAGTTGCATTTTTGTTATTTGCGCAACGTTCCACAGAGCTGTCAGTCTGGGCCAAACTACGCCTTGGAGCAGCTGCAGCTGCCAACGGCAACAGCCAGTGGGTCTGCCTCTACACGCATATCCTGCGCCTACCAAGTCTCGCATGCGGCTAAGCGTGACGTTGATGAAACGCATGCAACAGCTCAACTTGCTGGATGGCAGAAGCCAGAGGATGTGTGCCACAGTGGGCGATGACATGGCGGTTTGATGTTGTTCCAAGCAAATTTCTTGCTGACAATTTCTTGTTAGCGCTGCTCATGTTGTGGCTGCACATGCTGCATGAATGTCTCTCTCTCTCTCTGCCTCTCTCTCTCTCTCTCTCTCTCTTTCTTTCTCTGTGTGAGCGTTCTAGTCGATAAATTTTCAATTTTGCAACTTTTGCTCTTGTATGCGCGTGTGTGGGCTTCCGCATTTTAGCCACACTTCAGCGCTGCACAGCATGGCGTATGATTGATGCCGTCTACAGAGTATTCCTGCGTCTACACACAAAAGTTAACATACATACATACGCACATACAGCAGGCAACATATTATGTTTACATAACAAAAACAAATTTCTTGCTGCTTGCCCATTACTCAAGTATATTGAAGGCAGCAGGAGATGAAGAGAGAGGGGAGACAGCAAGAGAGAGAGACAGCTAAAAAGTGACTGCGATGCCTTACGCAAAATTTTATTCTAAGTAAGCACGTGTGTTTATTATTGACAAAGTATGTGTGCGTGCGTGTGTGTGTGTGTATTCTTTACTGCTTTAATTACATTATTTACTCTTTTATTTCAGTTATCTCTACATTGAAGCCGCCTACAGGAAGAGGAACAAGACACAGGTGAGTTAAGGCATTGCGCGCATCTTTTATGCAGATATTCTTCTGCCAAAACTCAACTTGACGTTGTTATAGCAGAGAATTTAAAACGTTAAATATATACAAGTATGTAATAATTTTAGCTTTATTTTCGCTCTTTCTCAACTCTTCTGTTTGATTTTCATAAAGTGATTTCGGTCTGTTTGGCAATCGAACTTATGAAGTGCTTTCAGCTTATCCGGATTGCAACAAGAGCCAAGCAATTCAATTAGCGCTGCGATATTTTATTTGGCAACTGCATAAAGAGATTTTATGACTTGCTCGGAGATCATGGCCAACATTTGGCTGCTTACACTGAGCCACATCATTTCTCTCCTTCAACAGAATTCACAAAAGTTTATTGAGTGAAAAATTGGCAGCAAAGGAAAAAGAATGCACTGTAGCACAATGTGTGCAGCAACGACAGCAGCAGCAGATATTGCTTTATATTGTTCAGTATATATAAATATCTCTACAAAATTTGAAGCAGCCCTGCTTAAAGTGGAATTCCTGTCGAGAATCTGTCGAGCATGACACAAATACAGACGCAATGTGAAGGATTGCGACAAAGATGCACATGAAGATATCTAACCAATTTCGACAGCACATTATTCAATATAAATCGCTTTGCATCGTTCATGAGTTAATTGATAGCAAGCAGCTTGCATTGTTCGACTTTCGAGTTCAATAGAATTGAAGCCTGAATGAATCTGCTTCGATGATGTCACAGCAGGATGCTAGACAAATAACTTAAAATCAAGTAAATAACCTTGATAGTCAAATATATGTATATGTTCTTTGCTTTTGGTATTTTAGCATTTTGGCCTTGGGTCTTGGGCAATGGCACAAACATAAATTTCCTATAAAAGGACAACAGCAACAAAATCATCATAGGCGCGATATTCTTTTAGGCGTTTTCCATAAGTCGGCGCCATAAATAATCACATAAAACAACAACATGCTAAACATGTTGGCATCGAATGTCAGCTTTGCTGCTACCCCTGCTGCTCCTCCTGCTGCTCTTATCCTGACAAAAGGAAACCCAAATGTGTATACATAAATACCATTTTTTGTTTGCTTGCTGTCGCTGCTGCTGCTGCTGGCAGAGGAAGCTACCAAACTGTACCCGCAATTTATGTAAAATTTAATGCTTTATTACGATACACACACACGCATACACGTAAGCACTCGCACACGCACGCATACATATGCAAATCATATCACTCATACACGGCCACACGCCTACGCACGGCGAGTCAATTGTATGTATGCATAGCATTATCAAACATGAAACATGAAACGTGAAACACCAATGAAAATGTCAACCAAGAAACAAACACAGCAACAAAGATAACAGTAAAGATAAGCAATTTTCCCGTTGCCAAATGTGTTCACCGTTAGTCGTCCTCTCTACACATGTTTTGTGCACGGAATTTTATTATGCACACACACAACTCAACACACAGACCCACACACACACACACAAAATGCTCGCATATGTCACTGTGTAGGCATTTAATGCCGGAATTCGTGCTACACTGCTCTACAAAAGTTCGACCCAAGGCGATAAATATATACTTATTAAAGCCAGAGCTAAACTTTTATATTAACTTTAAACTTTTCTGACTCGTTTAATCCGTTAGCTAATCTAAGAATAATAATACGTATTACTTTGTCGCTTAACTCGTCTCCTCGTGCGCTTGGCTGGCTGGTGTAACTGCGCTCGGCATTAATATATGATTCAGAATAAACGCATTCATTATTTACAGGCAAGCAGAGCAGAGCAAAGCAAAAAGAAAACAAAATAAACCAGCATCTGCTTGACACATAAACATCAAGTGCGCAACACGCCCTCAACAAATGAAATAAAAAGAAAATATTTTAAAATACATACGCGCATATACTATGCATCGTATGTATGTTAGCCTCTATGTATGTCTGTGTGTGTGTAGACAGTGAGAGCGATGTGCAAAAGGGCGCCAGCGTCGACGGCGGCAATTTAAAATTGCTGGCTTTTTAACTCGCATCCATTTACAGCAATTTTGCGTGTACCCTCCGAGCTCCATTGCTCTCCGGTGCTCTGGCGCCCCGACCATATGCCAATCAGTCCCGGCATGCGTGTTTGACGTGTCAGATTGAAATTACATCAGGCACTTGGTGAATGGCAAATGACAGGAATGCTGGCAAGGATAACGAATTACATAAATAAGTAACAGGCTGGCAAAAAAAAAGAAGGAAAATATACGAATAAAATTGAAAAAAGCCTTGCCAGACATGTTAAGAAATCAAATTTGATGACTCAATAATTGATACCCGCTCGAGGGCAGACGCAATGTTGCGTATACGCCGTGTATAAGCGAGCTTTACGGGCTTAGCTGCGCGCTGGGCGTGTCTAGTCCGACACTCTAATTGACCCCTTTGTAGCCGAGCTAAAGCATCCTTCAGTTCAGCTTCCACTATCTGCTGCCATCTCTAAGCCTGAGTCACTTATTTCATGCATTGTGCACTGCAGCCACAAATCCGCGCGGATTTCAAAAGCTTTTTACAACTGAACAACAAAAAGCAACTTAATGCGCCCTGATGCGGGGTGGCTCTATCGTGGCATGCCTCAAAGGGAGGGCGACCGAAGTGCGCTGCAGACCATGAAGCCAGCCCAGATAAACCCACCGAGCCAAGCCAAGCCAAACGTAACCAAAGAAACTGCATTGCTCTGCTTCATCTTCCTCTTCTGCTTCTTCTTCTTCTTCTTCTTGTGTTGGCAATGCCCTTTGTGGTTTATTTTGCAGCTGCATTGGCTGCAGACTCTTTGTTTTGCTTGGAGAGAAAAAACTGTTTCGCATATCGGGCAAGAATTAAGTTTACGCCCGTTGATTTTCAGCGCAACTAACGGGCGGGCGCCCAGTGCAGCTCGTTTAGTCAGCCAGCCAGCTTTAAGTGCAGCTAATAATAATATAAGCAAAATAGCCAGACTCAGCAGACGCAATAAAAAATTACACCCCATAACGATAATGGTGGCAATTGACGGGGTCAATAATGCGTAATGCCAAGAACTGAAATTAGCTGATCATAGCAGATAAATAGATAATTTTGTAAAAATTTGTTAATCGATTGAGAGTGTTTTTTGATGAGCTGCTTTTAATGTGGAGCATTTTTCTTGTAATAAACATTTTTATATTCCCCACTAGGATACTTATACACTATTAAATACAACTCTAGAGCTGAGGGCTTCTGCTGCCATAGCCACGTACCAAGCTAGCCTATAATTTTATTATTAATAAGTTAGCTCTTAAATAAATCAATCAATTTGTCTCTATTTCCTTGCGCATTAAATTTATTTTTATAGGCAAATCATCTTCATGCTATAATCCATTTATATTCTAGTTATATACCTAAAAGAGAATATATGTCTCAAGAAATATTATTTTTACTTCAAGTTTTCAGCCAGCAATTATTATTTTTTTAAACTTATCGAAGAGTAGAACTTGTTTGCACCTTTTTCCTTGGCTGGCCTTGGAGTAAGGTACAAACTTATAGATTTATCGAATATTACTTTATAAACTCAAGTTGCACAAGCTTAAAATATGAAGTGTAAAAGTTACTGTGCCATCTTCGTCCTTGCTTAATCAAAGTTTAAGCTTAAGCCCAATTTTTGCGCTTGGCTGCAATAAATTGTTGGCAAACCAATAACAAAACTATTGCATTTCCTCTGCACTTTGCCAAACAAACAGGCGAAGCTATGGAACTCGTACTGTACTTATTTAGTAACATTTATATTCCTGCCAATTCAGCTTCTCTCTCTCTCTCTCACTGAATCTCTCGCTCCCTCTCTATATCCCACATTACTGCAGCGTACTGCGTGTTTTCCAGCCGTAAAGCAGGCAGACAGACAGACACGCAAAACTTTCGAAGAGACTGCGGTAAGCCCCAAGACGCTGCCACGTCGTCGCTGGTTCGGTTTCCAGAGCCGAAACCAGCGAAAATGCTAAATATTTGAAAAGTTCGGCAGAGCGGAGCTGAGGTTCCACCGCCAGAAATGTCAACTAGTATAAAACTTATGGTAAATGGCCCGAGGCGTGGTCACAAAGCCGAATTTTGCGCAGGTACGAGAATCAAATAATAAAAAAAATAATTGCTCATACGACGCGTTGGCAGCAAATTATTTATGAACCGCCAGCGGCTTAGAAGCTTTTTAATATGAATAGCAGAATATGCGAAGGAGGCGGCTCTGAAAGATGATATAATCGCTGGCAGTTGGCAATAATTGGGTAGATGCCTGGCTTTTCGGCACACTGAGAGCGAGCGAGAGACATAATTAAATTCAATTATTTATGCGGCTGTCAGAGCAAAGTCGAGCAGATACGAAAATGTGAATCAACATTTGGGACAGGACTTACGAGCTGTCCGCAAATGCTTAAAGCGGCTTACACTTTGTTTGTTTGTTTGCTGACCAAATAATTGCGCCATTTGCGTCGACTAGCCGCTGTCACTTTAGCTTCGTCCCGCCTCCAGCTCCAGTCAGGGTCGTCCTCTGGGCCATTTGCCAGCTGATTAGCATAATCAACCAAAAATTAGTCGAGCGCATTTCACATGCAAAATAGTTTCAAACCCGCATTCACACACGCACACACACACACACACACACATGCTCACTCACCTATGCAAACAGATATGTGGCTGAAAATTCAATTCGCCACGCCAAACATGCTGTTGAAATAATCTCGCATATGAAAAATTCATTGAAAAATAATAATAATAAACAGCACAAAATAATTACTGCTCTGGCTGTAAAGAGTAAATAGATTTATTTACGCACAGTTTATTATCACATCAAAGCACTAGAACAGCTCTCTGCTCATGACGTAGCTGCAAATTCGCTATTTTATGAAAAACTAGTGCAGAAGTTTTGGTCGGCATTGACGGACTAGAAAATACTCTGTATATAAAAGAAAACTAAGTGGGATATTCGATATGTAAAATATGTGGGAGAGAAGTCAGAGCTCTGCTGTGATTAATTGAGTTGGTTAGGCATCTAGTTCTATGGGTATATAGGTATCTAATTATATATCAGAGATGAAAAGTCACACAACTCAATCTGAATAACATCAGTTGTTGGCAATTCCGACAAATTTTTTATATTGATATTTTCAAATTTTGAGATTTTAAATTTAGCCTGATTGGCAGAGAGATATATAGATATAGATATAGATATAGATATAGTCGCCACACAACTAATATATCTCAATTAGATCAATTATTTACAATTTTCCTACAAATTTTGAAGGCATGCGCAATTATTTTTTCCAAATGCTCAGATCTAAAATATTACTAGATCTGCAGAGAGAGGTATAGAAAGTGAGATGTATAACTTAAACCATTTCTGGGTTGATTTATTTATATATAGCTTATTCAATCATTTATTTATTTTTTCTATTTTTATATTAGATTTCAAATTTGTATATGTTAAAACCGAGAGCTAATAAAAAGTTAATGTATATATTATAATCTAAATAAAGCATAAAAATATCTTTTAATATATGCGCGCAAAAAAAAAGAAAATATATCTGAGTGACTATAAAGGCAGATATATTTATGTATTTATTTATATATAAATTTCAATTTTATTGAGTAGCCAAAACCTCAATTTGGGGGCTGCATTTCTAGGCAATATGAATCTATAGCTGCAAGGCAGAAAATGCACATTCAGTAGACTAATCGAATTGCAGTTGCTGTGCTAATTGAATGCATAACATTGTGTATATATATTTACATTTAAACATATCTACCTACATAAATAACATTTTAAGCACCAACATTTAGTCGCAACAAAGTGTTTAACTTAAATGTTATTATTATTCTTAATTAATTCATTTTGTTTTAATTTAACGTTTTCGAGTTGAGTTTCCCAAAGTTTAAATGGCGCGGGCTCGACAGTTATTTTTAGCCACGGTAAATTCTACATTTCGTTTAAACAAATATTTACAAAGTTTAATTAAAATTTGCGAGCATTTCCCACACCCCCTCACCCCGCACTCTGTTTGATCTGTGAATGCCGCATAACTTGTGCTTTATGTCGATTGGCAGCACTTTAATGCTCCAACTAGTGGGAATTTAATATTCATGCCACGCTTCAAAGGGCATCCTCAGGTGAATGGACACGGCGGCAGCTGGGGAAAGCTGAGCTCCTAGCTGAGCCCAGCTGCAGCTGTGGCAACGTCTGGCCGTCTAGACGCGCTTTTGAGTATATGGGCTCGATTGCCATTCTCGGCTGACTTCAATAAATTTTGTCGCAGAGACATGTGAGGCCACAGTCGGTGCCAGATTGCGCAGATGATGTGGGCGCATTCAATTAAGAACTAAACGTATATATCTAAAATTTTTCCTCGCGGTTTTCGCTGACCGAAAAAAAAAAACAAACTCTCGCCAAAAAATAAATACCAAAACGGAAGCTGAAAGCCGACCACGAGCTGAGCAACAACGCTGGCATTTCGGCTGCTCTTTGTTTATTTGCTACGCACAATCAAGTGGCGAGTATGGGGGCTGAGTGCTGTGGGCGTGGCAACAATACAACGATTCAATAATGGGGAGCAGTATGAAAATTAATGCAAAAGGACGCAGAAGGCGAGTGCGGTCGCTGCCTTCTGCTTCACTTGTTTTATATGCGTCACAGCAAGAGAAGGCGATGATCCTAATGCTGATGCTGATGCTGATGCTGATGCTGATGCTGTGGATGCTAATGATGATGTTGTTCATACCGAGAAAAAACACATCTGCGTTTCGCCGGCGGCCTCTGGATACTCGAGGGACGGCCAAGTTTGTATTTTATTGTTTTAAAATTTCTTCAAAAACTGTAACAACTGCTGCCATCAAGAGCTTCACATGTGCGCAGAGCAGAGCCGAGCCCGGGATGGGGCTATGTGTGCGAAACAAAGAAGTCTGCGAAAACATTCGCAGTTCAAATGTCTGGACGGAACGAAGAAACGAAGAAAGTGAATAAATAATAAATATTCTTGGGGCTGCATTTAAGCAAAATTTACGAGCATTATCTGATATATAGTATGTCGATCCTTAAGTACTATTAGGCATAATTAAATTTAAGAAAAATCTTTAATATTATATTCAATTATTCAACACATCTTCAGTTAATTCAATTCAGTTCGTTCAATTACAATTTCTTTTTTTCCTCTCTTTGCAGCAGCGCGACAATCAGAGCACAGCACCCTAAGCAGAACATTCAGCTACTTATCTATATACATACATATAGATTTAAAGCCTGACACAATAATAAATCGGAGGAGTCTTTAAGTACGACGGCAACGGCAACGGCAGCGGCATCAACAATTACGGCAAACAGCCGTGAGCACAAAACATTTATTAAGCTGACCGCAAATAGCGTTTTATTAAGCATACGCCACATTAGCCCGTAGGCTGGCAGGGATGGACGGACGGACGGCCAAGCGCACATCAAATTAGTAATCAAGCATCACAAAAGCAACGCCCAGGGCCGACGTACACCGAATAAGCCTTGGCTGAGTCGTCTCCGGCTTCGGCTTTGGCTCTGGCTCCGGCTACGGGTCCGGGTCTCGGTCTGGCTCTGCCTGGAAGCTCAACTGCGCGGCAGACAGAACTAATAAGTCGACTTTATTTTTATTGAAATTATGATTAATGACAGAAATATTGCACGACGGCGATGAAGAATCGTCGCATTGTCACGAATTAAGGGCACAAGCCCATTGACCATGATAATGAACATGACCATCACGATAATGACGATGCCAGTGATGAGCATCACGCTAATGATATTGCTGCGGCCAAGGCTCGATTTTTGACGCGTCTGTCAAGCCATGGACCAGACAGCGCACACAAAGCTGATGATGATGATGATGATGAACTTAATCAAAGGCCGTTTAATGAGCGTCAATGCTGTTGACGCCGACGCTGTTGATTGCCGGTGTGCAAGCAACTACGAGAGCAGCAGGAACAACGACAACAGTGACAACAGTAATAGCAATTAAGGTAAATTGCTCATACGACACGTTGTACGAGGCAAATTCTTATTTGCAAAGCACAAAGAGAAAGTGCAAGCACAAAAGAAATTCATAATTTGATGGCTTCACCTGGGCAGCATTGCGTTGCAACAGCAGCAGCAGGAGCAGCAGGAGCAGTCCGCCAGCAACGACATCATCAACACAACAACAACAACAACAATTACACCCGCAACAACAACAACAAACTGATCTCCACAGCCACACTGACGCTGCTCATACTCTGCCTGAGCAGCTGCATAGCCTACGCCACGGCAGCAGCTACGTCGACGGAACAGCCGGCCACAAGGAGCCCGGACAGCGGCACTCTGAGCGATGATTTCAACAGCAGCAGCGCCTTCCTGGGCGCCATTGCATCTGCGGCGAGCTCTGTGAACAGCAGCCCCATTGCCATTGTCAGCTATCCGGGCATCACGAGCAGCACTCCGAATGGCAGCAGCAGCACGCTGGTGTCCATGTCCGACACGCCCCTGCTGCTGGACGAGCTGGCTCCCGGCGAGGAGGAGTTCGAGCTGCCGCCGCTGCAATCGGTGATAGTGAGCATCATCCTGCTGATTGTCATCCTGGGCACTGTGGTGGGCAATGTGCTCGTCTGCATAGCCGTGTGCATGGTGCGCAAGCTGCGGCGGCCCTGCAATTACCTGCTCGTCTCGCTGGCACTATCCGATCTCTGCGTGGCCCTGCTGGTCATGCCGATGGCTTTGCTGTACGAGGTGCTTGAGCGCTGGAGCTTTGGCACGCTGCTCTGCGACATTTGGGTGTCGTTCGACGTGCTCTGCTGCACCGCCTCCATACTGAATCTGTGCGCCATCTCCGTTGACCGCTATCTGGCCATTACCAAGCCCCTGGAGTACGGCGTCAAGCGCACTCCGCGGCGCATGATGCTCTGCGTGGGCATCGTTTGGCTGGCTGCCGCCTGCATCTCGCTGCCGCCGCTGCTGATACTGGGTAACGAGCACGAGGACGAGGATGGCCAGCCCATATGCACAGTGTGCCAGAACTTTGCCTACCAGATCTATGCGACGCTCGGCTCCTTCTACATACCCCTCTCCGTCATGCTGTTCGTGTACTACCAGATCTTCAAGGCTGCACGGCGCATTGTGCTGGAGGAGAAGCGCGCCCAGACGCATCTACAGCAGGCGATGAACGGCACCGGCTCGCCGCAGACGGCGACAGCTCCTGCCCTGCCGCACACTGAGCTGGGCAGCGGCAATGGCGCTGGCCATGGGCACCGGCACAGCAGCATAGGCAACACCTCGCTTACCTACTCCACCTGCGGCGGGCTGAGCACCAGCGGAGGGGGATGCGGTGCTGGAGGAGGCGGTGTGGGCATAACGCATGGTCATCACGGCAGCGGCGGTGGCGTAAGCGGGTCAACGGGACTGCTGGGATCTCCGCATCACAAGAAGCTGCGCTTTCAGCTGGCCAAGGAGAAGAAGGCATCGACTACGCTGGGCATCATCATGTCCGCCTTTACCGTCTGCTGGCTGCCCTTCTTCATACTGGCACTGATCCGACCCTTTGAGACGATGCATGTGCCGCCTTCGCTCTCCTCGCTCTTCCTCTGGCTAGGCTATGCCAACTCTCTGCTAAATCCGATTATCTACGCCACGCTAAATCGCGACTTTCGCAAGCCCTTCCAGGAGATACTGTACTTCCGGTGCTCCAGCCTGAACACCATGATGCGCGAGAACTACTACCAGGATCAGTACGGCGAGCCGCCGTCGCAGCGCGTCATGCTGGGCGATGAGCGGCATGGTGCACGCGAGAGCTTCCTGTGAAGCCAACGGATCCCTGGATACTTGGCTCTCTAAATATCTCTAGGTGTTGTACTCTACACGACTAAGCCAAAACAAAATAGTGTCTACTGCTTGGCAAGGAATGCGAACTACAGAAGCATCACCCTCTCCCACACTCACACAGACACACCGACCTATATGTACTATGTATGAGTATATGTAACTGTTTACCTATGAGTATTTTTTGTATGTAGTAGTGTTGCATAACGCAAACCATAATTACGATATATGATAAAAGATAATTGATAAACGATAAACGATAAATGTAGATGACTCCTCTAAATGTAACTGAACGTTGTAATTTTTAAATGTAACACTAAGCAATGAAGTGGTCTATACAAAAGCAACCACTCTACACACACACACAAACACATATACACAAGTACCCACCCAAAGACAACCAAGACAACTCGCACACACACACACACTTACACAGAATACTGTTGCAAAACAATCGATAAGTATGTCTATACATTCTACTAGGTTTCCTTTTCGTAACTTTAGATTGTTTCGTCTATCGAATATCGATAGTTTTGTAGCACACAGACACTCAAAACTCACATCACAAGATGGTTGTACCACTGTTAATCCAGAACAGGTTTTCACACGGTTCCTTTTTATGTTTCTTAGCTCCAAAACAAGAGAACCGATTACAATCACAATCGATATCGAATCTATTGAGCCCACAGCGAGCGTAGTATATTTGCGATACTCAAACAGAGCCAAAAATTAAAATTAAATAAGATATTGTGTCATCTAAATTAAACTTAATATACGATAGCTATATAAACACATACGTACATATATATGTAGTCAAACATGACAAAATGGTGTCTATAAACTGTGGAACTGTAAATAGGAAAAGTCTACATACATATATCAGAAATCAAGCAGATGCAGATCTATCTCTGTCTGTGTGCAGCTCTGTCTCAGAACGTATATTTACTATACTCGTACAGCTAAAGCTCAATACTAAGTTACACTTAAATGTATTTATTAAATACTTTCTGCAATAATTATATTACATCTTGTTTTATCTTATCTTTTTGTGTATTTGTATAAAAGTCACGCCTCTCTGTGATACCAAACATTAAGCATTACATTTTTATGTTTAGATCAACTGCATTAAATTATAATATAAAATAAATTACTAAATATAACTAACTAGTTACTGCTAGTTTATACGAGTGCTAACGACGCATATAGATACTATATGAATATATAAATAAATATATACATATACATATATACATTATATACATTTACAAATATCTAGTCTGGCTAAGTCTATTATGTGTGCGTATTTTTATTGTATGTACGATATGTCTGCGTTAAGCACATGATATTCAAACATAAAACCGAGTTACGTATGTGTACTGTATGTTCAAATACAAAAATAACAAAATACCAACTAACAAAAAAAAAAAACACTGGTAAATAAAAGAAAACTAATTCCCCCCACACAGACACAGACAAATCCAAATCCTAAATGGAATGAAAGGAGCATGACAAACTAAGCGCATCTAATGCCATGCATCACAGAGCTAAAGTTCTGTAAACAAAACATAATATTAAAGAAAACAAAAATAAATCAACAAAACTATTTGAAATTCTTTCAAGTGAAGCTTACAAAACTGTAAAATTGCATTTGAATTCTGCTTCCCACAGCTGCAAGTGCAAAATATACAAAAAACCCAAAAAAAAAAAAAGAGAATACAAAACAAGAGAATATCTAAATCTAAAACTAAATATGAAAACTGAGCAGAAGAAATTAAAGCATCAAATAAAAGGCAACCTTATAAATGTAATCCCAACCGACTTTCTTATTGACTTATTTGGCTCGTTTAACAAATTTATACCCCATTCTGTATTGTCATAAGTTTTGCGAAACTTTTCCAGCTTACAGCCAACTTTTGCACTCCGCTAACTAACACAATATATACTGCAAAATATTCAAAGTTTCTTGAATCAATTAGCTTTAAGTTCGGAAAGTTGCACAAGTATTTCGCAGCTCATCGAAAAAAGGCAACAATGCAAATTAACTTTTAAATACACATATTAAATTTCTGAGGGAGCTAGCTAAGCTCAAAACTTTGAACAACTCTGATAATCCTTAGTAATACTTGCAAAACTCCACTTTACATGTAACATTAACAAGGGCGTATATTAAACAGTTTTTGGCACCAACTTTGACAGCAATTTGATTGAGCTTATGTGAGGTCTTTATTGGTATTAAATTGATAGAACAAATAAGATGAGAATGTTGTCACTGCAATTTGTAATTACGTAATTACTTATACGATATATCGAAATTAACTGTTAGAGTTTTAGTTTCGCATACAGCGAGGTTCTCACTGAACTACCACAAACATAAAACTAGAATAATTCAAATTAATTGGTTCGACTTTTGGTTAAAAGATTTTGAAGTCTTGTATATGGGTTCACAGTAATCGGTAAATAAAGCTGATTTGTGCACTTACAATGCAAACAGAGACAGCTAGAGAGGGGGATTGAAAGGGAAAGGGCAAAAAGTTGTGCAGCAGCTGTCGAGTGTCGCAAACTGTGCTTCAAAGTGTCAAATGGATGCACAGCTTAACAGACTGTGAGGAATTAAAAAATACAACAAAACAGAAAGAGAGATAAAAAATGAATATGAACCATATGTAGATGTCCATGTGCAGTGCTTATTTGTTAGTCAGGCGGGCGAGTTGAGCAAACGTGTAAAACGCGCGCGGAAACGGATGTGAAACCGAGTGAAACATTGTGAAAAATATCAAATAGCAAATGATAAAAAGCAAAAACAACAATGACAACAGCAGCAAACATTTGAGCTGAGCCGGAAGCAAGGGAAGCGCGTAGCATGCAAATACGTGCATGTCTGCAAGCGTACGTATTTGTATCTGGTATCTGTGCATGATTTGAGCAATAGTTTGGGTTAGAGAAAAACTAAAGCAATGACTGAAGCAGCAGGAACTGCCACTTGGCTGGATATCAAGTGACTGTGTGTCTGTGTGTGTGTGTGTGAGTGTGTTAGGGGCGTGCAGTGCGCTGTAGCAGGAGTCACATACTCTCTAAAACGGCTTGACAATGACAAAGTGATCTTCCGGCGCCAACTACTAGTAGCTGCTCCTGGCTGCTAGCTGCTTGCCTGCTTGCTGCTTGCTGCTTGCCTGCTTGCCTACTTGCTGTTGGCTGCTGGGTGCTTGCTGATAAATGATGATTTTACGCTCGCTCGTTGCCTAGCCCCAGCCATGTTACAATGCCACTTTATGAGCTGCGCCGGCTGCCAGACCCAATGGCGGCGATGCCAAGGACAGGCAGCGCATCGCTCGCAAGAGCTACGTATGTGTGTTACTATATACCTTAAAATATTTGTGTGTGTGTGTGTAAGCAGGGTGTGTGTTGTTTGTCTGAATATATATTGTAGAGCTAGAAGCCGATATACATACATATATTTGTGGTTTGATATAACCCCGACGCACACTACTCTACTCATATACTACATATAGTCCATGCCACACAATCAATTAGTGTAGCCGCGTTCTCCTCTAAAATCCGCCCTCATTTTGCTATATTTGATACTCAATATTAACCTTGAATGACCCTGGTCGTTTAGGGTATCTGCCAGTCGTATACTGCTTTCAGCATTCTGCCGGTTTTTTTTTCTGTTCCTTGTTTTTCGGCTACTTCACCCTGCAGCTAAGCGGATTTTATATTCAAATAGCGATGCGCGCTGCTATTCATGGGAAAAAAAGAGCTAAAGAGAGAAAAAATGAGCTGACGATTGCAGCGAAATTACCGTTGCTGCTGCTGTTTCTATCGCATCGTATCGCTAGCAGTAAAGTCTGCAGTTTTATGAGCACTTGGGAGCTTTTTTTTTATTATTTTGGAATTTGCTTTTTTTTCCTTCTTTGTGACACTAATGCGACGTTTATGAAACATTCGCAGCAGCGATTTCTTGTCAAATGATTGTAAAAAGCTGAAAAAGAAGATAGAGAACGAAACAAAAAAAACTGTTTAGCAATTTAGAAAAATGCGCTTATGAAAATGTCTGCGATTGTCAGCATTGTCCATGAAGCGCTAACAACTATTGAATCATAAATCAGTTGAAACGTTCAGATACGGTTGGGATATAAAAAATACACACATGTAAGAAGCATTTGTCGGCAAGCTGCCAGAACCGAAGAGAGAAATAATGAAAAAACAAGCCACAAAAAAACAGAGCAGAAAACTCAGAGGGCTGTAAGTGATATGCGTTGGAATACCCTTCAAAATAGAGGTGAACTATATATACATATATGAGAAAGCTAATATTATTCGTATTTTACATATAGCAAATTAGAGGTATTAATATAAAAGATTATTGCAAACATCGTACAACGCGACGTATGAGTAATTTATTTTTGTCTACACTCTGCACACTTAACTTGCTTCTGCCAAGCCACAAGCTGACCTAGCTATACATAGGTACAGCACACTCACTCCTGCCACCTATTAACCATTTTTATGGTCTAAGGGCGTATATGGTCCAGTGTCACGTAACAAATGCCCAATTGAGCTAAATGGCAACCCAGTTTCATTTCAGTTGTAGTCCTGCTGTAGGCCGTGTGTACATCTGTGTGAGTGTGTGTGTGTGGGTGTGGGTGTGGGCCAAATTGGTTGGCTGACAGGGGGTAAGCACTAAAGTGACTGATAACAGTGTCGATAATCGATAGAGTGTTGCAAGTGGCAACTGTGTTGAGTTATTTCGAACAAATTGGCAGCACTTTGAAGTGAAAATGACCCGAAACGATATGAGCTCGAATTTCAGCAATAGAGCCGCCCTGTCAATGCCATATACAATATATTTATTTTTGGATCAAAGCTCTTAGGCTTCATCTTAAATTCAATAAATATAAGAGCTGCAATTTACTCGGCACATTTGATACTTTATTTCGGGAATTCAATAACTCAAATTTGTAGTAATTGTATTTACTAAAAAGGCATTACGTTAATCAATTATTAAGCTAATGTGTATGTACATTTGAAAGCCGAGTCACAGCTCAAATCAAAAGCATGCAATTGCTCAATTGAATAGTTGAATCGATTATTATATTGGACTTTCAATTATTTTTCCAATGTGAGAAATATAGTAACTTTTCAATTAGATTTGAAATTGTAATCGGATTTATGCATAATTACAGGGCGTTTCGCAAACCGATGAATTTAAATTATTTCAGTGCAAAATAGTTGGTCCGGCAAATTGAAAACAAATATTACGTATACGTAATACGCAAACTCGAAATTAATTTTGATATAATTTTCAATTAAATCAAAATGAACTTATTTTTTAATTATTTGCCCACTTCCAGTGGAGTTTAGGCATATCTAATTATTATGTTACGTTATTATATAAAATGAACATATTATTGTGAACGTGTATAAATGTAACCAAACATTGTGTATACGCCACATGCGCCACATCAGCAACATCCCAAAATGTATGCAACATTCAAATGGTAAGCTGAACAACACAAACAGACACACACACACACACACAGACAGACAAACGTGCGCACATTTATCAAAATGTATTCAAAAGTAAATTATGTAAAATGTTTGAAGTGCCGAAAACTGTATTTCAACAACGATTGAAATCTGTAGCTGTCATACCTGGCCCGCACAACCCGGCCGCACCGCCTTCCGCCAAACAAATTTTATTTAATGTGCTGTCAGCCCACGGCGCTTGCGTCACCCGGACAAAAACCAAAAAAATAAATAAAGAGAAGCAAATGCAAAAAATGAAGAATAAAAAAAAGTGAAATATCTGAGAATTTGTACAAAATTAAGTTGATTAAATGGACTTAGCAGCGCGATTACACGCAAGGCTGCCTTAGAGCTGCCTAAAAGGGAACAGAGCGCGCGACTCTGAAATGCTATGCGTGTTGACTGAGCCGCCGAAGTATTCTTTTCAGAACAGCACAACGCCAGCACAATAACAACAGAGTGCGGCGGAAAAAAAAAGGAAAATTGTAAGGAAAAAAACATATTTTTCATTTCATTCCCTTCGCATCGCTCTGGCCATTGACAGGCGGACGGCCGCAACGGACAGCAATGAGCCGAAACTTGGCCCATTGAAATCTGTGTCCCATGGGAAACGCTGCGCCTCGAAGCCATTAAGAGGCGCATGATTAACGCTTTGCTCGCCAAGACAATTGATAAAGAATAGAAGCGCAGCTGGGCCGCAGACAGCCCAAAATGGAACCGACAATCTATGCCAGCTCAGTAGGGAGCCGCTAGTCGAGAGTTGAGAGTCCAGAGCTGAGAGTCGGCAACAAAAGTCAATGCAGCTCCTCTCAAAAGGCAAACTAACTTTGTAATGAAGCTTGTTTCAGATAGCGAGATTAATGTTTGCTCGTAAATCTATATAAACTATTATGTGCTGCGGCAAAAATAGAGAGAAATTCCTCTAGCTTAATCTTTATCATGTGTACACATAGATCCGACTATTCTGACTAACTGACTTAAAGAGCCAGAAAATTCAGCAAAACTCTATCAGATTGTCAACAAACTAATTTTGAGAAAGATCTATAAAACTGAGACGGTCTATGCATAACTCATTTAGCTTGAATTGAGCTCTCGAGTATCTGAAGAAGCCCTAAAAAAGCACGACCTTCGGTTTAATATAATTATTCTATAAATAATGATAGAGTGTTTAAAATTCCGCAATTTTTATGGTCACGTTTTCTCTTTGAGCTGACAATTAAGCGGCGACGGAAACGGAAGCTCGCGAGCAGCCATAGAGAAAGAGCATTTAATGCAGCGTTTACATTGTTTTTGCGCCCGCCTTGCTGCTGTTCCTGTTGTTGCCGGCTTTGGCATTGTTTTTAGCCAGTTCACAAAATATGTTGTGGCCTCCCCCTTCGCTCCCTCGCGCTCCTCCTGCTCCCAATCCTGTCAAGCGTTTTTCTTACAGCTGCTGCAGGCGTGCAGAATGATTAATGTGGCCGAGCACAAAACACAGGCATTAATGGGCGGTCAGCGGAATGCGCTCCAGCTACATTTTTTTATACATATTTTCTCATTTTTTTTTTTTTTTATTTTACGTGCTGACTTCCAAAACTCGAGCAAATTGCGGCACTTAGCAAAGTATGTACATGTCTACACAGATATGAGATGCCTGCACGTTCAGTGCAACGCATCAGCGAGACGGAAACACCGAAATTAATGCAGGAGCGGAGTGTGAGATTGAGCCCAGCACGGCGTATGATTAATCTCTTGTATCACACAATCTAATGGGCAGCTCGTGCCGCACTTGAAGTGACTAGAAGTGAGCCGAAGTGAGCTGTTAGCGGCGCAGCTCGAGCCAGCTCGTCCAACTTAATTTAAAGGCCCGCAGTTCCAGTGGCTTGCTGAAATCTTTATTAATATGCAAGAAGCCAGAGCTTCCACAGTTCGTCGTCGAGCACCATGAAAAATGATCGCCATTAGAGCCAGCAAATTTGCCGTCTTCTAGCAGCAACAGCGTTCGCATCAACAACAACTGCATTGATTTTGCAGCACGTAGCTGACTCCGCTCGCCTGCAGACTGAAATGTGGCTCAGACCAAATTCCATTTATGTTAATGATTCGGGCATTGCGAACCGCATGCGAATTTCATGTTGGCAGCAATTTGAGGCGCACTGCACTGAATGAGCAGCCATAAATTGTGGCCTGATTGACACGACTCGATATGCCAGGCCCGAAATAAGCCCCCAATTGCATGCACTGTGTGATATGATGAATGCATGCCGTACTCGGAAATTTGCAGGAGACTTTTAGCTATCGAGAAAATAATAATTGATAGATGGATGGATAGTTTTGCATGTTAATAGACTTTGCGCCAGATACTGATATGGCACTAATGAATAGGCTTAGTAATCTTCTTCTTCTTGAAACTGAGAGCTCTCAGTAGGTGCCGAAATTGTCAGCTTTCATTTCAAGTTTAAATATTCCCACTTTGCACGATTTTGGAACGCTAATTATTGTAGCTATTTTTGAGATAATGTCCTGATATAATTGAAAGCCGCGTATCTTTGGCAGATAGTTTCAAAATTCACAAAATTTGCATGTCTCGGATAGTAAATTCCAGTATATTTTCGAGAGCTTGTCAATGCAACAAGTTCTTGAAAAGCCAGAGAGTAGATAACGAGTGAGTTGCAAAAGGGCGGGGAGGCGTGTTCGCTACATCGCACTTAACAAAATTTAAATTGGATTTCGAGCAGAAGTCAGAATTTAAATTACTTCCGAACACTGTCACCAGAAATACAAAATGCTTACAAAATCTGTAGAAATATTAATATTTTAGTCGCTTACATGTCGCTTTTATTAGGTAGGCCTTGGACGTAACCGCACAGCATGGATTTGCGTTACGATAGGGTCCAATTTCCGACAGTTTTTACTCGCGAATCCCGGCATCATCATTCACACGAACACCATGAGGCGGCATCGTCCGGCCAGACACCGGAGCGACAGGCGGAGAATCCACAGCCGGAGCACTCGCGCCACGGCAGCGCAGGACACGGCGGATCCATGGTCTTCCATGTCGGCAACAGGGAAACAATTCTGTTCGGATTCTGGACCACAAGCTCTACGACATCGCTGGTACTCTCCTGCCTAATCGTTTTCATAATTGCCATCGGCTACGAGGCACTCAAATGCTATCGGGAGTGGTTGAAAAAGTGCTACAAGAAGCGCCAGGAGGGCGGCAGTGATCGAGGCAGCACAATGACCACACAGCTGGCGGCGTCACCGACGCTGATCGATGCCTATTCGTCGCCCCTGTCGCCTGTAGTGCCGGCGGGAGCGGGAGCCGACCAGAGTCAAAATCAGGCTCCGCTGACGACACGTGTGCCGTGGCTGGCGCTCACTCACTGGTATCAGACGCTGTTGCATATGCTTCAAGTGACCATCTCGTTTCTGCTGATGCTCATCTTTATGACATTCAACGTGTGGCTCTGCATAGCCGTTGTCCTGGGCGCCGGAGTGGGATACTTTATATTTTTCGCGAGGAGCGAAAATGTGTCCGACCACTGCAATTGAGGTACGTCCGTCCATTCCAATATCCAATGCCTGCCTGCGCTCCACTGTCTATATGATTTCTGTGTTGTCTATATGCTTGTGCTAATGTATTTTTCTAATTAAACCAAGTTATAAAAATATCATAACAAAAGTGGCTACCAGCCGCCCGCTCGTCCTAATTGTTCATGTTTATGGCTCGTAAAACAATGACTGCAGCTACCGAATAACCGACGAGAGACCAGAGAAAAAAGACAAAAACAAAAAAAAAGAATACAACTGCGAATGCGCCACACAACAAAGAGGAAAGTGAGCCGAGCCAAGGCAGTGCTGGCTGCCCTCGTGGTCAGCTGGGCGTATACGTAATCTACACCAAATAAAAATGGCAGACAAAGCTCTTCCTTTTATCCTTCTAATTACATAAGTAGAGCTCGAGCAGCATCTGCTCCACTGCCCCACTGGGGGCAGTGTATGCCGAATTCGTTCAATTTAAACGCACATTATCTCTCTCTTTGCGTTGCTATCTTTAGCAGCTTTATGGCCGTTTTACGAGCCCGCGCCCTCCTCCTCCCCCGTCTCCTACACCAACTTTCCTATGTACATACAATATATCTACATAATATGTATATGTACATATATATTTATATTTACCTGCTCAGTTTTTATTCCAGTTTGTGTCTGACGTTTTCATAATGCCCGCAATTATGAGGGCGATAAACCTTTGGCCAGGTTTACTTGCGCGCTACCAGTGGCCATTTATCGGCGCTTGCCAACATTCAATTAATATTTTAATAAGCTGCCTTTATGCCATTTGCCATTTGCCAAGCGGATAACGCAATTTGGCTTTAATACGCCACGCTGCACATGAAAACATGCAGCGCAGCCGCAGCGCAGTCGAAGCGCAGTCGAACTGAATTCAGCTTTAATAATTTACACACATGTATTCAAGCACATTTATGTGTGTGTGTGAGTGTGTGTGTGTGTGTGTGGGTGCGCTTGACCCATGGGTCGAGCTGTGCAGCAGCGGTCAGAGTCAAAGCGGAAGCGGAAATGCGTTCATGCATGCCAATTTGAGCCGTCATCGAGTCCAGGCTGACATCCATCAGACATCGCCCTTTCAACGGAGCCTGATTAATGAGCATGCACGTATACAGCACGATAAGACGCTTATGAACTATTGCGCTAATGAATTATAACTGTTTAGTGATTGCTTCACATTACTCCATTCTGCAGCAGCGCATTCAAATGGAGCAAACGGGTTTCTCTTTCTCTTCAGAGAGCTAGATCGTTTTATTGCCAGACAGTGAATACCCTTTAATTTTGTTACATTGTATCCCAGTCTCACATCATGTTGCCGCACTACGCGTCTCTGAACTGCGAGGGCATATACGTGAAATATATTTTATTTGTCGGCGTATTCTGATGGGCGTCCATGGCGGAGTAGAATATACGACCCAACTCCAAAAAGGACAAATGGAATAGTTTCAAGTAGCTGTTCCAGTGCTTCTTCAGTATCTCGCGATTGGCGTTGTGGGCGGGAAAGGCCGCGGCCTTTCCGTTCTGCACCAGGGTCCGCAGGCGCTTCATCTGCATAAAGTTATTGTTCAGCATGTGCATCACGTTTTTCATGACAATTTTGGCCTGGTTGTATTTGCGCCGGCACTCCACTTGGGAGTATCGCTTGCCGTAGCGCGCTCGGATCCACTCGAGCAGCAGCGGCACGTGGTGCACCTCCGGCAGCGTGGGCAAAACGAAGCGTTGATCATGGGCCACCCGGTCCAGGCCCTTGCGCAGCAGATCCTGCATCAGATCCAAGTCGTCGGCATCGTAATAGGTGTATCCCAGGTCGATTCGATCACCCGTGTCGCTTTTGTGAGAATTCGAGCGCGCCTTTTGATACTCTTTGTCGAAGAGCTCGGTACCCTCTTTGAAACGGCGTTTGGCCAAGCGATCCACCAGTGCGTCTACCTCGCAATTGCGATCCTCCTCTTCTGGCTCATCAGCATCGTCCTTGAGCGCCTTGATGACCGCCGACTTTATTCGTTGCTCCTGCTCGTCCTTCTCCTCGCCATTGATGGCGTCAAAGAGCTTCTGATAGTTGAACTTGTGGAACCAGGCATCCTGGCTCAGCTGAAAATATTTGCTGTCAGAGCAACACTGGCGTCGAGAGCGTTCCTGGGTCTGAACCTTCTCGCTCTCAACGCCAGTGTCACTCCATCGCAGCTCTGAGTCTCGTGGCCGTGTCTCATCGGAGCTTTGAGCACATGGGCATTCCCGTACACTTTTGAGTTCAAGGTCATTAGGAGTATTGTCTATGACTGTGGGTGGTACGCATTTGTCTGGCAAGTGAAGGCCTAGGCAGGAATCAACAATCCTACACACATTATCATCTTCCATCCTGTCAATATCGTCTTTGCTGAGGTAAATGAATCCTGGATCACATGGATCCATAATTAAGCGTTTCCTGATAGCTGCGACTCGCTCCTTCTTAGTCATCTCACGAAACTGGGCCAGATAGCGCTCCGACATGCGATCCAGATCTTCCAGAACGCGCCGACGAGTATTCTCTCGCCTCTTCAAGTCCACATCCAAGAATCGCGTGGAAAGCTCTCGTTTGATCTTAGCCAGATTATCGCGTAGCGACTCCTCCATTTGGCTGATGAACTTGTGGTGTCCGCACAGGGAAGTCAAATCAGCATTCGGACGCTTTTTCGATCTCAGCGTGCACAGAATCTTTTGAACTTCTTCATTTAGCACCGATCTGGCGATGCGTTCCGAATGATTGAAGGTGTATTTGGCAAACCAACGGGACTTGAGCGACTGATGTATCAATTGCGGCTCGGCTGTGGGCAAGGGAATCGGCTGCTTCGGCCGATGGACGAAATGTCGCCGCTGTCGAGGAATAGGCAAAAAGATCTTCTCGAAATAGGGCGACTGGACGTGCCTTGATTTTGACTGGATCTTGGCTAGTTCCTTATTCAGATCGTTCATGAGCTTCGTTTGGCTCGACTTGAAGCGACCCACCTTCACCTGGTCCTGCTTCAATCGTATAGCCACCGACTCATGCGGCAGCGGCAGCACGCGTTCCAGTTCACTCAGAGTGGGAAAGAGGTCCAGCCAGAAGATGGCGGACATGATTATGCGCTCGTTCAGCTCATAGATGACGCCATGGTTCGTCGTCTTGTAGTACATCTCCATGAGGAACCACAGAAAGGCCACGTCGTTGCCGCGGCTCATCTGCAGCAGTCGATTCAGTCCGCTCGGCGGCGGCCGCGGCACTATGCCCAATTTGGCCAGCAGACGCTGTGACCGATGCGTGCTACACTGTAAAATATCGTCGCCCAAGGCGCGCTTCAGGCCATTCGCGGCGGCCAATTGGCCCTCGGAGAGGCCGCAGTACCACAATGGCCCTTTTAGGGCCTCGTCTCCGATCTGCTCGCGGATGACCTGGTGGATGTGCTCCACTTGCTGGGTGAATTCCGGATCGTACGTGAACACCATCTCGAATCAATTGAAATTTCGAAAAATAACTTAAGACTTTGATGAAATCAAATTCAAATCACAGGAATTTCAAGTCACAATTGATCCGAATGAAAGGGTGCTGATCATAATTGATAATGGATTGGATTGAATTCTTATTAGAAAAGTCACAGAAGAGCCGAGAGCTTGTTATTAGCTATAAGTAGTTTATACAAGACCATTTCGAATACAAATTGTATTCATCTCAATCAGCATTTTATCTAAATCTCCTTCTCACTCTTTTTAAATCGAATTTAATTTGAGATCTCTCTCTTCCGCAATCGTATTTTATGAGATCATTTTTGACAGTTGTCAAATTGGCCACAGATACAAACTAATTAAGGATACGACTCTTATCCCGACCAAGGCAAGTCACAAATATTTCGAGCTAAAAGCTTTTTGGACAACAGCCACAGCCATCAACTAAGGCATACATGTATATATATCTGAATGTGTGTTTGTGTGTGTGTGTGCATGTGTGTCTGCTTGCGCCTTGAGTGTTTGTGACAATTTGCTGGTCCTTTGCAGCCCGCAGAAGTACATCATTAATTTATTAGCAAACCAAATAAGGACTCGGCTACAATCAGGACTCAGACTCAGCATTTTATTCGCAGGACACGCAGGCCACACGTGTCGCCTGCGATGTGTGAGTGTGTGCTTTAGTTGCTTTGTTTTGTCAGCAGATGCCTGCGGCCATTTCTCAGTTGCCGCTGATTGGACTCGCTGCTGTTTGGGCCGTGGAGCGCGCGAGTTTACAATTAACTTTGCTGCTTTAAGCGTGCCCCGTTTTCTAGCCAATAATTTATGACTTTCTACATTCGACTGTCAATTAAATTCTTTGGAAAATCAGAGCATTACCCGTCGCAGACATCACGAGGAGGAGGCCCGAATGATTTATGCGTCGACTGGTTGACACTTTTTGGTCAACATATACACACAATCAATTTATGTATGTGTGTCTATGGGCATTTCCCTTCTGTTTGTCAGTACACATGCATGTGTGTGTGTGTGTGAGTGTGTGTGTGAGTGAAGTGCTTTTGCTAGTTTCCTTTTTCCTATCACTTTCAGCCATACGACACGTGGCCAACGCCTGCAGAGCTGCTTATGTTAATGACCCGTGCCAGAACCCCCTTAGCCCTGCCCGACCCGCATCGGAATCTGGACCCGGCTTAGAGTCCTCTGCCGATGGGACAATTGGCATGTGTTTCAGCCCATTTTCATGCGTTTCGCTTTGCATGTGACACTGAGCCGGAGCTGGGTGTTAGATCTTAATAATAGATACGCCCACTCGCATTGTCAGGTAAACTTTATCTCAGTGTCCATATATCAAGCAAACTCGAGTGGAACAGAGACCATAATGGACGGCACGCCAGAGGCATCTTTAATGTTTTTGCACTCTATGTTCCTTAAAGCTTCAAACGAATTGTGGCCAGGGGGCTTCACTCCAGTGTCGAATATAAATGCCACAATTTTTACGTCAGTTTATCGGTTATTAATGTCATATCATCCAAAAACGAAAAAAAAGAGAAACTTTAAAAAAGCATCATCCGGTTTTTTGTGTAACGAATTGTGGTTGGCAATAAAAACAGGCAATGGATATATAGGTTAGCGAATACACTACAATTTTTATATATTCCCATACGTATACATATAAATATTTATCTATCTAACTAAAATACAATCAAACGAATTTTTATTTTCTACTTTCCTTTGACTCGAATATTTTATTTTATATATCATATTATTTGAAGTGTTTCATCTTCAATGATTGCACATTCCCTTTGGACTTCAATGTTTGCTGTCAGCTCACATAGCTTTCAATTTGCATCAGAATTGGACTGTTGCCAATGCGCATTGAGCCCTCCTCTCTAAGCAGTTTATATCTTAAGCTCATTTCAATGCGGCCAACTCTCGATATGAAAGTTTAAAATGTTGCCAGTGCGCCGTAAATCGGGGAATGCTCTTAAATTAAAGTGAAGCAGGCTTTGGGCTATAACCATTTTTTGTGAAATTTTAATTAAAAATACCAGCGGTAAAAAGTGTTTGGATGTGAACATCATATCATACATACATCGTATTAATGCCTGACCGCACAGCCGAATGAGATGGGGCTGCACAGGACAGCAATGAAAATGGAAATACGGACGGAGGAGTGCCCGAAGTGACGTACGGGTTGTCCGAGGCGGGTGGCATACGGGCTGCCTGACAGAGTGGCCCACAGTTTGATGGATAGACAGACTGAAGGGCAGGCTAATGATAACTGACTTATACTTAAATTGGCTGACTGACCAAATGACTGATTTGTACACACATCAAACACCTGATCAGTTGACAAATCTCCAAAGCAGTAGTGTGATAAGACGTACTGCTTGATAGACAAATTAACTGACAGATTGTAAGAGCGTCTGAGGTATATGTTGATAAAGGGCTAGACTGAAAGACTTATTGATATATTGATATATTTAGATATTGATATATTGAGATATTGGTATATTGGTATATTGATATACTAGTATATTGGTATATTGGTATATTGATATATTGGTATATTGGTATATTGGTATATTGGTATATTGGTATATTGGTATATTGGTATATTG